ACTTATACTAGATAATATCATCATTCAAATTTATACAGATTTACTGATTAGCGATTAGATGATTTGTAGCCGATTTGGAGACTACATGCTAGTAAATCCAAATTCATTTTTATTCGATTATGCCCTCCCTTGTTCAAAGAACTTTCTGGGTGAAAAAAGATTCATAATTATAGCCCACCTTTTTTTTTCTTCACCAGTTAAGACCTTTTGGAGATAACCTATCCTGATATCTAATTTTATATTTACACTTCGGTGCCTTAGGCTAAATCGGTTGTAGCATGACATATAACATAAAATTTTGTATTCCCGGTTCCCTAACAGCTTCTAACGCTAACAAACAGTTGATCAGTGTATGCAGATTGCAGAATGACTCCCGAATTTTATGAAAAAATATATTAACTACTTTTGGATTATACATGGTTTAATAAATAATCTATATCTAGAACTTAGAACATTTCTCCTGACCAGTCAAATGTTAGACAATCATGATTTTTGTCCCATCTCTCCAATTAAGATCATTTATAAATGGTCGCAAGTTATTTTGTTTTACATACCATAAATATTTCAGTACTTAAGAGGGGGTCGTAGTTTATTACAGTAAACACCCATCAGATCGTTTTCCTTAAATTTATCATCACTTAAAGGATCATCACATTCTTGGTCCCAATGTTCCCACATCATGTCCTTAGCTTCAATCATTTCAATGAATCGGTGCCACCCGTGGTGGTAAGATTTGATTGGCTTTACTTCATTAACTCGAAATGGTTTCCATCAACGAAAGCAAATCACCACATGATTTTTATGGATTCTAGGGCGATAATAATCATGATATGATTCTCGAACTTTAAGCAGAAACTATGATATACGTTATATCTTTTTCGTGATAATTAATCTTGAACTCCATCGTTCTGGAGGTCCCACCCATTCAGGTTGATTACTAATCAGCTTAGGTAATCATCATTGTTTTTTGTCAATAATCACCTTACATTAATGGTGCTTAGCAAAGTAACAGTTGATATATTCAACGATTATGTGCGATAAAGTATGTTTAATGTATTTTAGACTCTAAGAATACATGATTCCTTTTTATCCGTTTCGGGATGCCAATCACTTTGACTATCATAAATTAATGACTGAAATTTCCGAAAAAGGAGAATCTGACATCACCTTTTTACCTGACTTCGTGGGATTTATATTATCCGGTACATATACAGTATACACACTCCACACCACCATAAACGCTAAAAGACAGCCCATTAATTAGCCGAAACTTTATTAATATTTATTATTAAGCAATTTCAGATAAATGCAAACTATTAAACTATTACTATTACGAAGTTAAATCAAAAGAAAGCTTTAAAACAGCAGAAATAGAATGAACAAGAAGCTAAAATCAGAGCTGGAAAAAGAGCCAAACAAGGACCTAACTTAAGTCCAGGAAGCGCTTTCATATAAAATGATTTTTACCAGAATGAAGTAATATTTGTCACAGATGTATAATAATTCATTGCAAGTTGGCAACTCTTCTTTTTTTAGGCGTGGGATGACAATCAGGAACATCAAATTCTTCAGTTTTTTTCGGTAGATTTTTCCATCTCTTCAGATTATCAGATGAGTTTGTTGTATTATTTATTATTTTCATTGTATTCAAAATTTCGAGCTACAGAAAAATAAGATAAATCAATTAACGTTAAAGAAGTTAAAGGTAAGATAATCAGATGAAACTTACCTTAGCGTAAATGATGGAGACAAGAGCATCCAATGTTCTATTAAATTGTTTGACATCGGCATAAATCTCAAGTGGTACTTGCCTCATATATCGGCATACATATCCCCTTAGACAATCAAGGTTAGTTTTAATTAAATTAGCTCCTACGTAAATTCTGGGTGTTAGTAATTCAATCAAGTTCAATTCCAAAAAACGTATCAATACAATACAAACCTGCATGAATAAATCCGGGGATGTTGATTGTCTTCGTCATAGTTTACCTTGCGCGCTAGACTAATAAAAATGTCTTTTAAAACCTTTGGTAAAGCTAAACTGCATTCCTTTATAATCTTCGTCCCTTTTTCTCCTTTCCACTTCGATCCAGCCTCGGACGCTGCCCAATCAATTGACCTCGAACCAAATGACTGAACGTAACCGTCTCCTTTCTTTCCTATAGCCTTCCGTTGCATTGGGCCTATGTTGCTAAGGGTTCTGCCACAATTTTTCCTGTCTTTGGTCGCTAGTCCAGCTTTTTCACCTCTATGTAAAAAAAGAAAAGTTAAATATAAAGTAGTAAATGATAATTATGTATCCCTGAAATGGTTCTTAATTAAGCTAGATGAATACTATATCTACTTTAAATACTTTCACATAATTATATAGCCTATGTACTATGAAAATTCCGGGTATTTTTGCCTGCAAATCCATTTAAAGGATCTTTTTACTCACCCAACGAAAAACACAAAGGGCAGGTCCGAAAAGGCTATATCAACTGTCCTCCAAACATTTATTCTGAACCAACTTTCCGGTAAATCCTGTGTAATTGTTAGCGGATTTGGCTCCATTTCTAACAAACGAACCCTGCATAATATTTATTATTGATAAGTAGTAAAATAATAAGAGTTTGATCATCACTTACCAATCAGATACTGTGGTTCTCACGTGTTCGTATGGGAAATCAACTAAAGGATTGTAATTTTCGCAAAGTCGAGGGTATGAAGAATAAAGTGCTTTTCGTATGTCTTTTGTTGAGTCCTGTAAAGAGAACTAGTTTGTCATAAAGATGCTAGATGATTGAAATGGCAACGCTCACAAATTACCTTTGCAAAAGAATCGATGTATCCCAGTAATTCATTATCTATCTGTGGTGATTCATACATGGATTTTGTTTCGCGAATCTCTGTTAACTCATCAGAAGTGAATCCTGACTGCACAAACTTGTCTTCGGAATCGATTATGAAAGAATGCACAAGACTAAAACAAACGAAATTTGGGTCAGTTAGCAATCACATTTTTGATTGTGCATCACAGTGTATTGCGGCTCTTACTTATAATATCTGCATTTTATCCCTAGATTGTACAAGACATCTTCAACATATGTTCCTGTGCTAAGCTTCCATTTTTTATCATCCTTCATGGACTGAAATCTATATTCAGAAGACAGTTAGACGATCTCTACAAAATCAGGACTTGTGCAAGAGCAAAAAAGACTTGCCTTTGTGTAAATAATTCTTTGTCTTGAAAAGTGAATTCGTCTTCTTCATTTTCAACTTCCTCGACTTCCTTATCCTGAAGCTCCTTGATTGGCTTTTCCTCCTCTTCGTTGTAATCTTGTTGAAGGTCGGCTGATGATAATCTAATAGCTGGTGTTGCTGAGGTAACAATTTCCTCAATTTCCGAACTATGATCTACTAATACCCGCTCAGATTTGTATTGCAAGATTTCTTTTTTTACAGCAAAAATCTGGATCTCGCGCTAATAATAGATTAAGAAGAAAATGTAAACATCATACCACGATATAAGATCAAAAACAGTACTTACTTTATTAACTCGATCCTCAATCGCAAGAGTTGCTAAGTTTGAGCAATGATTGTTCCATAATATTAAATTTGCGGGATCTTTATCGCAATTCTAAAGAATGATATATATATAAAAAAAGAGAATATTTATTCCAATTTAGCGAAGATAATAGTGATTGCCTATTCACGCATGATATGATGGAACCTATAAGATCTACCACCATAACACACTTCCCACTTCAGACAAGAAACATGTTGTCTTGTGCGATAAAATCGTTCAGTTAACAACTGCAGGGTATAGATTGGCCTATATGTCAATGAGGATACCAGCGCATGCTATGATGGAACCTATGAGATCCACCACCATAACATACTTCCCACTTCAGGCAAGAAACATGTTTCCTTGTGCGATAAAAATCACTCAGTTAACAACTGCAGGGCGTGGTAAGACATAAAAAACGCGTTACTAACGGATAATGCTCTTTTCAGGGCAGCCGCTTTAGAATATCCACAGCTTGTGTCCTGTAAATGCTGAAGAAGGACCTTTAGTTCAAGAGCTAGTGTTCTGTGCGCTTGTCTTTTGCTGCATCCGGGAATTTGATTGATGTAATACATGTCCCAGTCACTTATACTACCCCATGAGGTTGGGTTACGGTTCCAGTAATCTGAAAGACAGTAATGGGGAGGTTAAAGTTACTCCTAATAATAATGATGAATATCAGAACTTACCTGGGTAATACAAGTCGGCAAGAAGTTTATCGTTGATAAAAGTCATTTTCAATTGTTTCATAGTTTAGTTTCCAATCGTAGAACGCGTAAGAATCCACTTAGTAATCTAAGCCACTTAACTGATTCACATTCATGATCACGTGAAATCGATCGACATGCGTGAAAGATGCAAATGGATTTTAAAAACTTTATTAATGATTTAATATAAGCGAATTAGAAATGATTGAAATATATGATGCTATCAAAAAGGGAGGGAGTACGCGGATCCTAGGCCATTTAATGCGAGTCCCAGCATCAAGTTATTTCTTTACTCTCTCACATTTACGAAAAGTATCTATAACTAATTTGTTTATACTTTTATTGCTAATTATGTGATTCTCACCCCACACCCTTTTACTATACTAGATTTCCAAAATAAATTATCCCACCCATATTTACAGAATTTTTGTCTATCTATATCTCTCCCAAACACATAAAATATTATTTCTCGAAAGAGAACTTCTCTGGGATTAAGAAATTTTGAACCTATAATTACGAAAGTATAAGCAACTGAGTTTAAAAAAAAAAATAATACTACATAATTCCATTCCGCCTCATACACAAGATATTTATTGCTAAATTTTTTTTGCATTATCGCCGGTACGATACTGCACAAAGTTTTAAGAATTCGGTGCTTATATAGGATAAATTTTTTGATGCACTGATTCATGTGAGTAATTTTATTGCGTCCACATGATGATGGTCAATGATTTCTCGGTGAAGATCAAAATGCCGATATATAACAAGAAGAGTAATATGCCCATTTTATTTTGAAACATCTATAGAGGTGGAAAATCAATTAACATCGTGATGACATATTTAGAGAAACTAGCCGAGCAATAAACCAACTTATTTTATTATTACTTTGCGGAATATATGGGTTCGTTTGATTGTAAATATCGATAATGCAAATAATGGTATGTTAGATTGGTTTTGATTTTTTCGTTTTACTTGCACAAGGTGGATAAAAGGATTCACTAACCAAGTCATCACCTTTTTATATAATTCCTAGGATTGATTTTATTATACGCTTTTGGAGAAATTACGTTAATATGATCGCATCATGAAAATCTGATCAACGGACTCTCCTTAATTTAACAATAAAAGAATTTAACGCTACCTATATGTAAAGATCATCAAGGGGTCCTTTTACAATAATATATGTAATAATTTTGAGAATATGCGAGAAAGTTTAAGAATAAAAGTCCCTGGATCTTTGCTGGCAATTTTAATCCGATCCAGATTTCCGTTAGTGCCCTAAACGTTTTTTATTTGCAATACATTGAGCTAAGATAAATTACATGGTGCGGGATTAGCCTTGGGTATATGATGCCATTCTATGATTGTAAACTATTATATACGATTATTTTTTTCGAATGATATTTCTCTATTCTAGCTTGAAGCAAACCACGATACATGCTATGTCATATGATAATCGTGAAGACTCTTCACACTTCCAACCAATAGAAGTGGGATCTACCGGTTAATCATATGATAAACTTTAATTTCAATGACGTACTCAGAAAAATCTCGGCAAGAATTTTCCCGATATTAACTGCGCATCTGATTCCAGTTTCTTTTGCATAAGCCACTCACGAGATTCGAAAAAAAAGAAACGAAATAATATACGAATATTTTTTCTTCATAATTCTTCCGGTCTAAGCCACAATCGCGAACTTGAGTTTATTGCTTGAAGTGTTGCAGGTAAGACAATATTCCAACTTATCTTGAGAATAAAACTTCGCTAATTTAGGATCATAAGGGAGCCGATTCCCATTTTCACAGTACCATGAGCCATGTAATCTATAATTCCCATGTATTCTATTGCAAATAGGACATGGTGAGCTCCACAGCTGAAGTGATATAAAATCATAATTATCAATCCCTCTGAAACTATTTCCGAATTTCAAGTATGGGAAGTGCTCTAAGACGGATTTGATAATTAATTCTGAATCAGGTTTGGCTTCGAAAGTGATGGGCTCTTTTTCTTTACATTGCTCAGAAAAAGATAAATAGGATACTTTGTTCTCTGACTTCGAATTTATGAGAAGACCGGCTTCTAATGCATGTTGCCATGGCTCATACTCAGTTTCTTTTTTATATTTTTTGTATAATTTAGAACGAATATTATTCATCAAAACGCTTGGTAACCCAGTTAATTTGGCATGCCAATTTAGATATTCAGGAGTTAATATTTTATCGGACTTGGTCATGTTGTCTTTTTTTATAATTGCAAATCAATCTAATTAGGACATGTGTAAAAAAATATCACATAATAAATAATAAAGTGCCAGTTAGCAAATGTAGTCATAAAGTGACCTGATTATGCAACTATCTCAATTTCGCGCTGTTTACATTTAATAAAATAGAATTCGGCTTTATATGTACCTTCTATGCTTTCCTCATCACCATGCTCTAATTCGCATAATGGACATAATTTCTCGTCAGTAATTCCGTAATAATCAAAATTTCACTACTAAATTCCCTATATAAAGTAGGGTAATGATCTAATGTTTTATTGCGAAAATATGCTCGGTCATAAGTTGAGTTAGATTGAGATGCAGATAACGATGTCCATGCCTCAGTTGCGTTAGTCTAATCGGTTACCATAGGTAATGCGGAAGTCATATGATTGCGATCTGATGATGGTTCTACTGAAGTTACATTCTTGATGATGCTTTGAATTTGACTAATGGTAAGACTCAAGATGGCGTAAACACTAAGAGTAACTTTCTTAACTTTATCTATTCCCACTCCATCTTCTCCAAATAACATGCGGATTTTTTTGGCTCTTAGAGTTTTCATATGCAAGTTTCCCGATATGATGCCAGGTAAATGCTCTAGCATTTCTTTGTATATTTGTGATCTAACTGTCTTATCTGAAGTTCCAGTGTCATGACAAATCGCATTAACTTTATTTTCGAAACTATTTGAATAATAGAGCTAAGATAAGATCACCATATGTCCAGCTTGTATTGCATTTTGAAATAAACGAACTAAGCTTTGTGTTGTAACTAGAGTAACTAGGGAGGATGATGGATGCGATACCAAAGATATCTGTTCTATAATCTCAGATGGAATAATAATGTTATCACTGAGTAATTCCTTTGTTAATTCTTGCTCTATAACCTGACTTTTAGTTAACTCAATATCATCATCATCATTTTCCTGAGACATAATAATGACCAGAATATTTTTTTGCTGATCGTCACAAATTCGTGATGGAGTTTTTGTTTTTTCCGAACTTTTCAAAGCGCTCTGATCGTCTCAAATATTGTATGAGGAGTCTGATGTAACCGAGGAGCTGAGTTGAGTTAAAGGCATTTCGCATGATTCACGCTAGAGTTTCTTCTCCTTATTGCGTTGCCTGATCTCATCACCAATCCTCTTCTTATGCGCTGAATCTAAAAATTCATCGGTCTTTCTATCTTCCTTTAACTGTGTGTCAAGAGGGTTGATATTAATGGAATGATCTATAACAGAACTAGGTACATTAACAACTTCCTTGAAAGAAATAATTTGGGATAGCTCTTTATTCTCTTCGTTATTGTCCTTTGCCTAAGCGCCTTTGGCTAGTTTCACTATTTCAGCCTTAATCTCAGCGATCTCAACATCACGCCTAACATTCTCTGCTGAAGAATCTATCTTGTTCTTCTCCAATTCCTCGATTCTGGCCTTGAGTTTAGCGCTTTCAGCATCACGCCTCTTATTCTCTTCCGTAGACTGTCTTTGAAGTTCAGCAATCCTGACCTTGAATTCAGATCTCTCAGCATCAAACCCTGAAATCTTTCTTCTAAGATCATGGATTTCAGCATTCTCCTTCCTAAGCTCTGCAATCTCAGCTAAGAGTTTGGCATTTAATTCCCTTAATGAATCATTGGATTGAGTGTCTGACATGATCAATAAACTTTTTTTATACGATAGAAAATATTCAATATTATGTTGCAAATGTAAAAACGTTTTATTAATACAAGATAAAAAATAA